AGCGCGCGGGTAGGCGCACCCGCGCCCCCCCCCGCCGAGACGTCACTGAACATGCGTGTGATATCATCGCGCATGCGCGGCAGTATTCTGATACCTGACGGCGTCTATCACCAAGATGAGGGGACAGTCATCCGGCGGGATAAGATATGCCGCCGGGTCCCCTCCTCTCATGGTCCATGACCGAGCGCCCGACTTCTCAGAGGGGGGTGACACCAAAATGACTGAGTCATTTTGGTGTCACCCCTCCAATGGTGTCGCCCAGGTGCGGGCCGCACCCCCCGCACTCCCTTGTGACGCCGCTGCCTGGGCAGCAATGCCTCTCCACTTGTCCATCTTCCTATTATTGTTCTTATATTGCCCATGCCTCAGATCATACAGCTCTGGACAGGCTTCCACAAGTTCTACAAAGAATTCCGTGTCCACTTCAGCCATCATGGTTCCTATCTTCACAAATCTCTATCTCTCCACAGAAGCAGGAAGTCCAGGGGTGCTGAGATCATCCAAACCAGCCAAAAAGAAATGTTTTTTTCCCATTGCGTTGCGTTCGCGGCGGTTTTGACGCGATTGTGCGCGTTCCGGTGCGCGTTCCAGACCAGACAAATGTGACATGCAGTATTTTTCTGCTCTGGTCTGGAACTGACTGCGATGGTGTGTACTGAGGCCAATGAAGAGCATAGGGATACATTAGGATGCATTTTAGGTCCAGAAACAATCTGGTCTGGTCTGAAGGTGATCTGGAGGTGGTGTGAATGGGCCCTCAAAAATATGGAAAGTTCAGCTCCACCCAAGACAGATATTTAAATTCTGCATAGCTGCTGTTCAGCCATGGAATACTAATTTGCACCCAACTACTGCGACCAACTGGTCCCATGATGAAGAACAAGCAAGTAACTGGTGAGTCCAGCTGCTAAAGAGTGACACCTTCAATATGGGCTTGTAGCAGTGGGCAGAGACAGACCAATGTGGGCAAATCTCACCTCTAGGGTTCTCCAAAGAGGCTAGCATGTGTTTAATGGCATGTGCACTAGGGTTGCCACCTGTCCAGGATTGACCCGGCTTTCGGATGCTGTGCCCAGGTTTCATGGCAGCAGAAACCCGGACACAAGATGTCAGATAGACAAGGGCAACCAAAATTAAGAGCAGTCTCCAGCAGCCGTCAATCTACTAGTTTAGAGAAGGAAAAGGGAAGAGTGGAAAACAAGGAGTGTCTTGCCTTGGTGTGCCTGTGTGTTTGTGGAGACACAGCTTATTAGCACACACAAGGGTGGCTCCATTTTTCCCTGCAAGGGAAAGAAGACACCATAAAACAGGATATCAGGATCAGTGCTCAGGGGACCAGCTGATTCTGCAGGAGCAGCACTCATTGTATGTGATTTCATCAGCATTAGAAAACGCTTAAACACCTTTGGACTTTATTATCACTTTAAGATGTTTGAATGAACTCACCTTGAGCTCTATAGGGCTGTGGATAATGTAAAGATCAATGTAATCCAGCTGCAGATCCTTCAGTGACTTTTCTAGAGCTGGACGGACCTGATCTGGAGCATGGAAGGTAGACCAAAGCTGGAAGAAAAGATTGACGGATAACTTGTACACAAAACGGAATAAAAAATTAAACAGCAACTCCAGACAGCTAATAACATCACTGTACTGCCGCACAAATGATTTAAAGAGACCCTGTCAGTTTCTCAGAAATGTACCTGACATTCCCTGCTGGAGAAGAGCCATTATATTGACCTATATAATGCCTGGCCTGGGTCTCAATCCTTATCTCCATTCCGAGTCTGAAGTCTCTAAAAGACTCTTTGGCACTGAACTAATATACAGGTTGTGGTTTTTTTGGTGTTGAAAGGAAACCTATGCTGAAAGAAACACAGGAACTGACCAACTTCTGGAAATAATGTTATCTGGATATCTCCTTCTTCAATGCTTTCTAAGACACTCCCCTGGAGAAAGTAAACTAGAGAGTCACAGTAAGATCACAGCTCCCGATCTGCATGCTGGTTCCAGATTAGTTGCTCAGAGAACACTAAAGTCATCCAAGCAGCATATCAGCCAGGCAAATAGCATTTTCAGAAGGAGAAATCAGAATGGACGGGTTCCATATTTCCCCAGCACACTTACAATGTTCACGTTAAGATGTTCTAGATCTGTATAAGTTCACTTTTATGAGGAATTCCATTGAAAGCAATATTGGAAGTTGAATATACCTTTGAGGTGTAGAAAACATCCTCCCTTTTCACCGTTCCATCTGCGATCTTCTCTCTGATGGCTCGACCCACCTCGACCTCATTGCCATATATCAAGGCGCAGTCTATGTGCCGATAGCCAGATTCCAGGGCCACTTTTACACCTTCTTCAGCCAGATTCTTGGGAACCTACAGAAATAACACTGATAACTTACAGGGAAAGTACGGTTCAGTCAACTTTATTTAGCATCATATGTAAAGTTTACAATGTTATAAACTGATGATACAAACTGCATCACAGTGCATCCATACCACTCAGTTTCCAAAGCATGTTGACCTTCCTACTCAGCCAGCCCAATAGTCTGCAAGCTGCTTGCCTATTTGTATAAAGCAGTCTATTAAGATTGCCCTGTCTTTGCTGGGAAGGAAAGAAGGGGCAATATTGAAAGTTTAACTAAAAGAAAAGAAGCAAATGATTCTTTATGAAGGTTAGGACACTTCCTATTACTGGGTGACAATGGTCTCCCAATTGTGCTCCTATATTGTCCCCACATCACATGGTGGTGTTCATCCTAGTAAAGACTACAATTGGCCAATGTGGAGAGTCAGCAGGGCTGAGAGCAAAGAAGGGGTTAACTTGGGAGGGCAGGTACTTCCCCTACAGCCCTTCCTGTTAAAAGGTAACACAGGTGAGAGAGGAGGGGGGAAGCTGAGAGACAGACAGAAAGGTCTGTGTCTGCTCAGAAGCAAGTGGACTCTATCTTGGTGAGATCACCTAAACGCACTACGCAGTGCAATCTTATTGAAGGACTTTATCTTTGATGTTTGCTGAGGAAAGCCTTTTACTTTAACGTTTTGCTGAAGAAAGCTGTTTGTTCTGTTACCGCTGGATGAAATAAAAACTGTTTATTTATATCGGACTGTGTTGAAGACGCATGTGTACCCCTGGGGTTCCCCACACCATATTGACCCACAGTGCGCAGTCATGGTTCACCGTTGTCACCATCAGGAAGCCAGTCCAGAGCAATGATGTGCAGCTGATGCTGGAATGAGTGCATGTAGACAGGAAAAGGCTGAATGGTGTCACAACAGAAGAGAGGTCACAGAAATGGGCCACCGGAGAGGCGAGTATATGCCTTGCCCTATTGTGGGGATGCGCTGGATTTAACTCTTTAGAGCAGTGGCAGATGTTCTTTAAGCTGAAACATATAGCTATATACTGTGAAGTGAATTTATCAAAACTGGAGCAGACAAAATCTGGAGCAGCTGTGCATGGCAACCAATCAACTTCTCTCTTTCATTTTCAAATCTTAACTGAACAAACTGAAGAGAGAAGCTGATTGGTTGCTATCCACATCTGCTCCAGTTTTGATAAATTGCCCCTCTAATGTCTAATAAACAGTAAATGGGTCATAACTGCACTTTAAAGCAGGGCCAGCTTATAAGATCAAGAGATCAGGTCAAAAAGAAAGATCCCTGAGGGAAACATGGAGACCTAATGCCTAGCATTAGGAATGAGCTCAGTTTCGGATCCAAGCACGGAAGTGCACTGGGACCACCCACCCAATGAGCTGCGGGATAGGGCATTCCCAGCCCCTAGCTGAACATAAACAAAGGGGCAGGGTGCTTTTGCTGACAGCATTGACCTTATGGCTAAATCAGGTAAATATCATTGAACAGCTATTGCTTTGTGGCCATATAAGGTCAATGATGTCACTGCATCCCGCCCCTTTGCTTAATTGCAGCTGTGGGCAGGGAATTTCCCGGCCACAACTGATTGGGCAGCAGTGGCAGGAGCTTCCTTCCGTGTTCAGAGTAGCTCCTTCCAGGTTCAGAGGAGCTCAGGTTTTGACTGGTTCAGTCTGAACCTGGGCTCATCCCTAACCAGCACAGGGCAATAGTTAGATTCCCTTCAATGCTCCTTACTGCTGCTGTATAAGTGGATTATAGAGCACACATTATCACTATTCACTGAGAAATCACACTGTATCCACACATGGAGAGCTACACAACACACACACAAGCGCTGTAAAATTCCTGAGTTCTGGGATTCTGTGCGCATGGTGAAAGGTGTAGGAGGGGGCTGTAGATAAGCCCTCATCCAGATAAAAGATGCTGCATGTGTTTGCAGTCTAGATCACAATGCACACACACTATAAACAATATACTGACTGCTGCAGAGCAACTCCTGAGCCCCAGGATTCGGAGCGACGGGATGGGCTCTGCAGTAACTCTTTCTCATCCAGATGCAACTGGTTCTATGGAAGTTGTGTGCACCACATAGGACAGTTTTCCACCAAGCACCCGAGGCCGGCGGGACAGAAACGGGTGAGTTTGGAGTTTCGCTTTAAATGAATTGTTCAAAACAATCTCTAATAAATATCCAAGCAGTGATGACTGAGAATGAAGAAACTGCAATTCACAAATAGAATCACATATTTTTATAATGCAGGAAAGCACAAATTGTAAATTGTAGGGTTCTCTGCAAATCGGATACATTTTACTATATTCAGGTTAATGAAAACAGTAATGAGAAGAAATTTGCAGATAACCTGATGTGCAAATGAATATATTCTTCACTGTTTACTAGCTGTGGGCTCGTATAATCATATCATTGTGCGGAATAAAGACGTTTTGTACAGGAATGAAAGGGTAGAGATCAGTTATGTAAATGTCCGTGGCACAACTCCAACACAGTATCCAAAATCGCAAACTTGAGGTCTGACTGCAATTCGTATGTAGAGGAGGGGAAACAAAACATTCCTGGAGTTGACGCAGGTCTCTAGCTTTTGCACTGTGACTTTGTATTAACCCCTTCTATACAAAATATTTCACTTTAGTAATGTGGTGGGAAGGGGGGGAGGGGGGGGGACACAAATAAAAAGCTTGTACAGCTCAATACATTCTAATAATTTTTCTAATTTTATTGATCCAAAAAAGACAAATATAATCCCCAGAGAGGTGGCAGTATGATATTATGAAATACACTGTGTATGAGGCAATCAGTAACATTAAAGCGGACCTTTAATCATATCTTTTAAAATAAGAACAAACACACCTTTAGAAATGTTTAGTGGTGACAATCTACAAACACATACTTCTGGATAATTGCCGGCTTTGTATTCTTTGGATACCTTGTTTCTCTTTTCTTCCCCAGTCTTCTGACTGTGGCCATGTTTACTAAGGGCAGATTTCTAGCTCTCTTTACTTCCTGGATTTCTGGTACATGTGACTAGACATGTGACTAGGACATGTGACCATACACATCACCTCAGGGGAGGAAAATGCCTTTCCCTGGGATCTCATGAGATTACAGATGAGATTTTGCAGCAATGCTCTGCTGATGACAAGGCAATCCCAGTGTGCATCGTGTTTGAAAATTGAAGTAATTTTGCCCTTTCAAAGCAGGAAGTGAATGCTCTGCAAGTGTAAGTATTTCAAAACCACAGCATTTTACACCTGCATGTCTATGTTATGATTAATCATCATACATAGAGCGATGAATTGGTAGCATTTGATTTTTGAGTGTAAAGGTCCGCTTTAACACAGAAGTTTCTGGTTTTTCCCCTGTCACATAGTTTTGTTACCAGCTGATCCTGGCAAAATATCTTTGATTTTTCCACTTCCTGTAACAGGGTGACAGCACTCTTCTTACTGCAATAAAACCAGTCAGTAGTGTTGTCACCCTGTAGATAGGGTAATCTTAGATGTACACAATATTTTGAATGAACTGTAAGTGTAAGACAAATAAATTAAAGGCCAACTCCAGCTAAAACTTTTTAAGCAGCTAAAGAAACAGTTTTGTTTTTTTTATTCTTTGAAAAAAAGTTTTATAGAGGAACGAAATACCATCTTGGCCTCTGTTTAGATCTGTGCAATTTGAGGGTTGGAAAGATTGGTTGAGAGCTGGAATAAGCACACTGGCAACTAACCGTTATCACCAAGGGCATCATTGAATGTAACTTGAATTGGAAAACAGCAAAGTTGGTGGGTTTAGCTTGATAAAGCTGATCATTGTAAGCACAATGTAAGCGATATTCATTTTTCCAAACTCCTGTAGCTGATACTTTGCTGGTCACTTACAAGAAGTGGAAAAATAACAGACCTATTGGCAGAATCAACATGTAATAAAGTTATGTTAGAGGGGGAACTCTGTAACCATACAGCTGGCGCCCTAGCAACCAATGACATCGGGGGTCCTCCTCCTCTGCAGTCACTGCCAGGCGGTCCTGGCAGCCTTGGATGTCAAATTTGTTCCCGTTCTCAGCATTAAAAGAGGACAGAAGAATATCTTTTTAGTGCGCACCACCCCGCCC